CAATATGGAAGCAGAAGACTAAAGCCATGTGCTTAATAAGTCTGATTATTAGTCCCCAAACGAGCTAACCAACATTAGACTCTTGATCACGAATATTAATTCTATTAGTGCATTAGAATCCAATTAGTGATCCCACACTTTCCCTCGATCCGAGAGATAAAAAACAAACACCAAAATCTTCATGCTAGATAATAAAAGATAAGCACATCCAATTTCCTCTTTGATCAAATTTAATTAATTAAGTGTTGTTTTCAATTGATCAGAATCGTGGCTTATGCATGGGGTGTTTGCACACCGGATAGAATTTAATTTAATAATTCGTGAAAGCTCAAGAGATGATGCAGTACGATATATCAAATCTGATTGATGAGTAAAGGACCTTTTTTCGCATAATACACAGTAAATTAGGGTTCCTTGATCTGCCGATTGTTTCCAACGTGAGGTATGCAAAGTTTCACCAAGCCAACAATAAGATAATTAATAATAATTGGAAACATAGAACCTGGATGCTTTTGCTTGGGAAAGCTTCTTTGGTGATCATGGTCGTGCTTGTGCTTGATCAACCATGATTGATAAGAGACGTTGCACGCTGTTCATGCCTTCTCAAGAATTTTTTTTTTCTGGGTCTCACTGGGCGTGCCACTTGACGATACATGGATCTGCATCAACGTCTCCGGTTGGTTGAACGGCGGCCATGGCGGAGTCAAAACCCTAAAACCTGCAAAAGAGGCCTCGGGGTCTCCCGAGGGTAGACACTCCGATGCTTAAGTCAGTAAGAGTAGTTGTAATAGGGTATGAATTGTGATGCGTAGAGCGTACCTTTGATCATAGGGATTGATCCCTATTTATAGAGCTAAATTATGGAACCTTTTCCTAGTAGGAAAGTAATTGACAACCGCCCTAGAAGCTTCCATGGGCCGGTTGGACCTTTTACCGAACTTGAGCCGGCCTAGTCGCGGGCCGTGCTAATTTGGACTCGTCACAACGCATACGCTTCCTGAGAAGACCTTCAAGTTTCAACCGATCCTCGGCGGAAGCACGACTTTTACCTTCATCACCAACGAAAATTCGCACCCGATCTGGATTGTATTCCATTGTCACGGCTACATGGGGTGGAATAATCTCAATCTTATAACTCTCTGGCCGCTTCACCTGTCAAACCCACCACTTGAAGCCAAGTTTTCTGAGCTAACTCTGAAACAAGAACCAAACCGAACAAAAGGAGACAACCCCAAAATTTCTTTCCTCATATTAGCTTCAAAATTTTCAAAACCCAAAATGCCTAAACTCCAAAATGTGAAGTGAAGCAACAAAGAATGGGAAATTTATATATGCAAGTTTGCCTAGAAGTGTTTTGCATTGTCCTCTGGATATGAAGTAAAAGTGGCACAACAACTTCATGCTCCCGTTCCAGAAGGCTGTACTCATCCATCCGCTAAGAACTTTGACTACGGAAGCTGCTTTTATAATCAACCAGGCTCACCTAATGATTTCACGTGTCATCTAGATATGGGGATAATGCATTTTCAAGCAATGTTTAAAACGCAATAGTTTTAGCATATTCCTTTGTTTAATGTGTTCCGATTACAAGGGTTCTGTTATGGCCTACCAAACGGGCAATTTGTATTTCCAAACGGGCAACACCTCATTAGGCTCAAAGATCATATCCAGGAATACCATCCAACCCATTAATCTATTGCAGATTTTCACCCTGAGAACTGTGCATATGTCATGAATCATTAGCGCTAATCCCTTCCCATTTCAAGCTACAAAAGATTGAACGATGCAGTTAATATTGAAATTTGCTAATATGTTTCAATTAACTTTTTCTTTTTTTTTTCTTATCATTATTCGGGCAGATCATATTCATAATATTAGGACAAGTTTATAAAGTTTAGAATTAAAAATCTGAATTACTTTTTGCAGTTATAAAAATTACACATTTACAATCGTTAGGACAGTTTTGCCCATGTTCCTCATATTTTCTCATTTCTTCCTCCTCTTCCTCATATTTCTCCTTTCTTGAAAAATATAATTATTGATCCTGCTCATTGAAACAAACTAATTATTGACAAAATATAATCAATAACTAAAATGAATATAACAAGAATAATAACGATAACACAAAGATGTAATTAACACTAAATTATATTTTATTTACATAAACAACAACTACTAATACTACTCATTTAAATTTAATTAAATTTTAAAAATATAAACAACAAAGATTAATACTACTCATTTAAAAAAAAAAACTAATCATTGAGAAATACCAGAAATAACTAAAATGAATATAACACAAAAAAAAATTAAAAAATAAATTCTGATCAGGAATAGCCGGTCCAAAACCGGCTACTCGTGAAGGACCAGCGGCCCGAAACCGGCTACCCAAGGAGAGGTAGCCGGTTACCTCTCCTTAGGTAGCCGGTTTCGGGCCATTTGGTCCTTCTTGGATAGCTGATTTTGGTCTGGCTGGTCTTCTTGGGTAGCCGGTTGTGGGACCAATTTTTTTTTTTTTATCCCTAATTTTTTGAGGAAAAAAGCATATCGGAATTGAAGCCGAGTCTTCCAAGTGGTTGATTCTCTTGTTCCGCCATTTTTTAAAAAATCCAAAATGTTATAGATTTGAGTTTGACATTTTGATTTTCTTGTTGTTTTCTTTGGGAGGTGAAGAAGAATAGGAAGTAATTTGAATTTGATAGTTTGAGGAGAATGTTGCTTCTTGTAGTTATCATGGGAAAAATTGTCCTAACAACTGTAAATAAGAAATTTTTATAACTGTAAATAACAATGTATATGATAAATAACATCGGAGGAAACATTTTCTCCATTGGAATTTCAAGAAACTGCTTAATTTCCATTCAAAATTTGACCAAAAAATGTTTTTTGATTACCTTAGTCGGCGGACAGGATCTGCTGCCCTCAGTCAGACGACAAGGTCGACAGTGGGAATGTTTAAAGTTAACAGAAATTTAATGGTGATGAGAAAGAACCTGCAAAACTTGCTTTCCAATGTCTATAAGGACCCTTCGGACCAAGCTTTCTGAATTAAAGACTGAAATTAGTTATACAACTTATCTTTATGCGACGTTACTTGCTTTAACAAGAAAAGGACACTGACAGTTCCCAGATGGAATTAGCGATGGCGACGGGATAATATTGGAATCCCCAGCACGAAACCCAAGTCGGAATCTTACTTTCTTTCTTCATTGACTCGGGACTGGGAAAATCTTACCTTGTAACAAATCAGAGTCTATTAATACTACTCTGTAATAATAATTCGTAAAAGTTATGACTGAATTATAAAATTTCGATGCAGGCAAATCTTGTTAACCATGTTTACCTTCAAGCTCATTCTTTTGGTAGTATTTGATTTTGTTCTGGTAGGTTTTGCATCAGCGCAGGATCTCAGCATCCACCACAATGGATTCCGTCCCACCGAAATGATTCTTGATGGCATAGCCCAAATCACACCCAATGGCTTGTTGAAGCTGACAAACGCCACCAAGCACTTGAAAGGCCAAGCCTTTTACCCGGGACCCGTCAAGTTCAAGAACTCCGACGACGGTTCTGCCTTTTCATTTTCGACCACATTTGTCTTTGCTATAGTGTCACAATATCCTGCTTTGAGTGGCCATGGAATCGCTTTTGTCATTGCACCAACCAGAGGCTTTCCGGGTGCTTTATCGAGCCAGTATCTTGGCATTTTTAATGGAACCAACAATGGCAATGCCACCAATCATGTGGTTGCAGTTGAACTCGACACGGCCCAGAATGCCGAGTTCGACGACATCAATGACAATCATGTTGGCATTGACATTAATGGGTTGAAGTCCGAAATATCCAAACCAGCTGGATACTATCAAAACAGAGAAGGTTCGTTTCAGAATTTGACTCTTATTAGTGGCAAAGCTATGCAAGTTTGGGTGGATTATGATGGAACCTCAAAGCAAATGAATGTGACATTAGCTCCAGTAAATATTGGTAAACCGAATCAGCCTCTTTTGTCTTTGACTTATGATCTTTCCCCTGTTTTGAATCAAACCATGTATATTGGCTTTTCGTCATCCACTGGTGTATTACTTGCATCCCATTATGTTCTTGGATGGAGTTTTAAAATGAATGGTGTGGCTCAAAATCTTGATCTGCCTCAACTTCCTAAGCTTCCACGAATTGGGCCTAAAGAGAAATCCAAACTACTGACAATTGGTTTGCCAGGGATTTTGACTGTGTCATTTTCAATAATTGTGGCTGGATTAGTTTATCATGTAAGAACTAAAAAGAAGTTTGCAGAAGTGGTAGAAGATTGGGAGCTGGAATATGGTCCTCACAGATACAAGTATAAAGATTTGTACGTCGCAACAAAAGGGTTCGGGGAGAAGGAATTACTAGGAAGAGGTGGCTTTGGCAGAGTTTATCGAGGTGTATTGCCAAGTTCAAAAATGGAAGTTGCAGTGAAGAGAGTATCTCATCAATCCTGGCAAGGAATGAGAGAATTTGTTGCAGAGATTGTCAGCATTGGTCATTTGCGACACCGGAATTTAGTCCCGCTTTTGGGCTATTGCCGGCGAAAAGACGAGCTTCTTTTGGTTTATGAGCGCATGCCTAATGGTAGCCTTGACAAGTTTCTCTATGACCAGCCAGAGCACACCCTGAATTGGAGCCAAAGATTTCATGTCATCAAAGGTGTGGCATCTGGCTTATTCTATCTACATGGAGGATGGGAAAAGCTTGTGATTCACAGAGATGTGAAAGCTAGTAATGTCCTATTAGACCGCGAATGGAACGGAAGATTAGGCGATTTCGGCCTTGCGAGGTTATATGATCACGGTAAAGATCCTCAAACAACACATGTTGTTGGAACGATTGGGTACCTTGCGCCGGAGCATACGCGAACAGGAAAGGCTACAACCAGCACTGATGTGTACGCTTTCGGGGCATTTTTGCTTGAGGTTGCCTGTGGAAGAAGGCCAATAGAACGAAGATCAGGATTGGAGGAGGTGATCTTGGTGGATTGGGTATGTTCCTGCTGGAATAAAGGAAACATTCTAGAAGCTGTTGATCCTAATCTGGGAAATGATTATGTGAAAGAGGAAGTGGAAATGGTGATGAAGCTTGGATTGATTTGCTCCAACTCGGAGCCAACAGCAAGGCCAAGTATGCATCAAGTTGTTCTGTATTTGGATGGGGCTTTGGCATTACCGGAATTGTCAACTCTGGGTACTTCTGCAACGGGGCTAACCATTTCGAATAGAGATGGATTTAGTGAGTTTGAGTCGTCATATCCATCCTCCAAGGAACAGCCATTCTCACACTGTACCTCTGCTACTGACTCTCTCTTGTCAGGAGGCCGATGAATGAATGGTACAATGATTTATAGATAAATGTAGCTATTTATTGCATTTGGCATTGTATTTCAGGTTTAATAAGAAGAAAGTATCTTATAAGGCTATTAGAGAACAGGTATTCGTCGTCTACATAAGATAGATTACAGCAAATTTGTTTTTTACTTGTTCCCTTTAGTTGAATTCTTTATGCATCACACTGAAACGGTACTTGATAATTTTCTTAGTCATTTTGGCACTTGAGAACAAATTTACCTGAAGTAATGTGTCTAAATTTTTAACTATTCCTTTAATTTACATAATTTTTCTCATTTTTTTTAATACATTGTTCGTTATAAATTTAGCATTGTAGCAATTACGGCTCATAGTGGACGTCTATGAGGTTCGTGATTCCAATTCCATCGGGGTGGGATCTTCTTCACACATATTTATAAATGTAGAGCCATAAAAATGTTTTTGAAAAATGAAAAAATAGTAAAAACAATTTATTTAATATGGTTATGACGGTACTTTGTGAGTATTGATGCCTATCTACAATCTAAGGTGTGATGATTAATACATAATTATTCTAGAAAACAATAACAAAAGCTCCTTAATAATTAAATAAAAAAACATGTTTTTATAGCTTGGCTAGTGCGAAAAAGAAGACTTCTAACTAAATATAGGTTACACAAAATGAATGTAAGTGTGCAGGATGATAGATGCTGACTATGCAAACTGGAACCTGAAACCACGGACCATTTATTTTTCCTATGTGTGTACTCTCAGAAGATTTCGGACATGGTTCAGAGTTGGCTTAGATGCAGGAAGATTGCTGGCATACCCCAGAGATGGAAAATCTAGCTGCGGAAGGTGTGTAAGGGAAGCCAAGGAGATGCATTTTTCTAGCTACTTTTGCGAGTTGCATTTATCGTTTATGGCAGGAAAGGAACAAAGGCAGTTTGAAGCTGTAGAAAGAGATCCAGAGGTTGTGTTCAGGTTGATGCAGTTGGAATTAAAATACAGGTTTGAACATAAACGGAGATGTAAGGGAGCTGAAGTAAAAATTTTACAGCAGATTTTTTTATCAAATTTGAAATGTATAGAAGCAGGTAAGAGAGCTGTGTATTCTGGTTGTGGATTAATGACCGCAGTAATTTTATACTCCCCTACCCACAAAAATAGTCCAGTTTAATAAAAAAATTTATCTTAAAAAAATAATCCAGTTTTACAAGAGTCAAAATGAGTTAAAGTAAAATGATTTAAGTATCCTCATGACATAGCTATAGTAATCTTATTGCTGGTGGAATTCGTGGCATAGTATTATTCCCAAATTAATCCGATTTAATGAAAAAAAAAAAAAGAAACAAAACAAAACAAAACAAACCCAATAAATTTCTCACCACCGGCCCCCCCGCCCCCATCACCACCACCACCACCCAGCCACCACCAAAATTATCCACAATCTGATCTTTCTGTTCTCCTCAAGAGAGCAGTGGCTTTGTGTTTTCTTCCGTTGAAGAAAGGAAAAAATTGAGGGAGTACGACCCAGTCAAGGACACATGGCGCGTGGTGTCTCATGGCCGGAGAAGAAGATACGGCTGCGTTGGAGCTTCCGTCGACGGCTTGTTTTATGTGATTGGGGGTCTGAAGATCGGGAATTCCGATAATGAGTACTCGAATTTGACGTCACGCGTTGCCGGAGCTGAGTCGGTGAATCTCTACGCAAGCTCAATGGATGTATACGATGTGTAGGCAGGTGTTTGGTTGAGGAGCTGGATTGTTAGATAAATCTCGTCGAGTACTATCAAAATGATATAAGACACTTGATTTAATTATTTACGGATTATGAAATAAAATTATTTGAAGATCAAAAAAAATTTTTAAAACCCAATTCTTAAAAATAAGGGATGCTCATATGGAATGTTGTTTGATGTCGTGTGTGCTCACATTAAGGCAATGCTTATAGTATAATAACTCTCTTGTAGGTATCTCCGATTGCATCTCCGATGTGTCGTCTTTTGAACACCGTCCTTACAGATTTGAGGAAGAAGTGAGGATTTGAGGAAGAAGTGAGTAATACTGATGAAAAAGAAGACTTCAACCCTTTTGGGCTGGATTCTTTCTAATTTATAAATCCCAAATATTGTTAGGCTTACTTTTACTTGCAAAAATTATATAAGTATACCTTGAATACAACCCAATATCAGCTAGTCCGCGTATTAAAAACCTATTTGTTTTAACAGCCATTTCATTTCGTTCTTAAAGTCTTCATATTTTAATCATTTTTTCACCTTTAAAAACTTTGCTCGATCCACCTTCCAAAATGCCCCCTGCAGTGTTGGAGGGCTGGGTCCATCACCGTCTACCGGTACAATACTTACTTCCCATTATGTTCTCGGATGGAGTTTTAAAATGAACGGTGTGGCTCAAAGCCTTGATCTGTCTCGACTTCCTAAGCTTCCACGAATTGGGCCAAAAGAGAAATCCAAACTTCTGACAATTGGGTTGCCAGTGATTTTGACTGTGGCATTTTCAATTATCGTGGCTGGATTTGTTTATCAATCATGTAAGAACTAAAAAGAAGTTTGCAGAAATATTAGAAGATTGGGAGGTTGAATATGGCCCTCACAGATTCAAGTACAAAGATTTGTATGTAGCAACCAAAGGGCTCAAGGACAAGGAATTACTTGGAAGAGGTGGATTTGGCAGCGTTTATCGAGGTGTATTGCCTAGTTCCAAAACGGAAGTTGCAGTGAAGAAGGTGTCTCATCAATCCAGGCAAGGAATAAAGGAATTTGTCGCAGAAATTGTCAGCATCGGTCAGCTACGCCACCGGAATTTAGTTCCACTTTTAGGCTATTGTCGGCGAAAAGGGGAGCTGCTGTTGGTGTATGAATACATGCCTAGCTAATGGAAGCCTTGAGAGGTTTCTCTATGACCAGCCTGAGAAAACCTTGAATTGGAGCAAAAGATTTCTGTGTCATAAAAGGCGTTGCATCAGGCTTATTATATCTGCATGAAAGATGGGAAAAGCTCATACTTAAGCACGTAAATTTCGTAATACTGTATTCCATCAAATACTCAAGGCCTTAGGCTTAGATGATAGTTTCACCTTAAGTATATCGTAGCCCAATATCTATTACACAGTCCAACTCATAATTTCTAAACTTCAAAGTACATCTTTCCTTGTTGACCTCAAAGAAAAAAATGAAAAATATTCCAGTATGTGTTTAAACGTGAAATAATGCACTTCACAATTTCCCCCCTTTTTTTGTTGTAAATATGTCTAGCTACAGGGTGCGCAAAAAAATATTTTTTAAAAATTAAAGAGCATAAAAGAAGTCAAAATAACGATACGTCTCCTTTTATTTTTCATGTTATTAAACCGTCCAGTTAGGGGAGAAAGAGTCGGCAAATAATAACAAGCACCTATGTATACTTTGCAACGTGTACCGTATGGGTATGTGTAATACACTCTCTTTCTACACAAGTTGATTAATTTTTTTTTCCTAATTTTCAGTTATACGCATATTAAATCCTTCAATTCTCATTCTATTTTTTCTCACACATTTAATTTTAAACCGTTTTCTTTTTTGCTTATGTTATCTTTTATATTATTTTATTTTATAAGAAATTTTTTTTATAACTATGGATTTTATTGCGTAAAATTGAATACGATATATATATGGCACTAAATGCTCTATAAATATATCTCTCCAATCACACAATTGCTGCGATCATTTGATCTCAAGATCAGATCAACATGAATCCGTACATTGTACCGAAAACCCAGAAAAAAAAAAAAGGTATTCGTACAATAAATTTCAACCTTTAACATTATTGTTGCTTGGTAAGCCTTTTCTATTTTCGATTTTTTTTTTCTTTTTGAAATATTTATTGATGATGCTAGAAACAATTCTGTTGTTGGATCTTGAAATTTTTAGTAAAATAAAAATTCAAAATGGTTGATCATTTAAGAATATATAGAGAATATAATTTACGTAATTTATGAATCTCTAAATCGTGTTTCTATGATTAAAACTTGAAAGGGCTTAACAAAATACTATACCCGCAGTCGGGATGAGTACAAACTACAAAGTATTTATACCCAATTGAGAAACGGGACATCTGCTGTGTTGTGTGTGTAATCAATATTCTTGTAGTAAATGGAAAAACACGACATGTTTTGGGCTTTTGTTCATTTGTTGATACGACGCTCGAAGAATTTTCAATGATAATTTTCAAACATTTCACTGTGAATTATTTGAAATCCGGCGTAGTATTAAGGCAGAGCGGTAACCCATAAAGTTTCTAAACCAAGTTTGTGAGTCTCATTCGGTCGTCCTCTAGCGTCAATGCTTGTGAGTCTGAGTCAACTTTGTCCCTTTGCATTGACTCGCTGCCCCCCCACACGTGCTTTTTTCGTTAGGTTTCAACTTTCAAACATGCTTTTTTTCTAGAAACCTACACCAAAGTCAAAAAGATCCACTAACCAGCCATAGAAGAAATTGGACTTTTGATTGCACATAGAACGTACCATTACGGTCTGTCCATTCTCATTTTTTTTTCTAGAGAAATTTTTTCATTTTTTTTTTAAATTTTCCAGAAGGAAATTGCTCTGCTATATGCCTTATAAAATACGACTTATGTATCTTTTATTTTTCACTTAAAGAAATACTATGATTTTTTTCCCCCTTTTACTACTGATAGACTGATGGAGTATTTTTGGTCTGTAGATGAGAGAAACTTTGTTTGTTATTAAAAATAAA